TTCGAAAAATTGGAAATTCCTTTACGATAAAAATATAAGGTTCGAGGAGTCGCCACCAATCTTTGATTAGGGTGTGATTGGGCACCCAAGAACATTGTCATTTTAAATAAAAATTAATTTTAATTAAAACGGCAAATTTACGGTCTACGTTACCAAAATCCAAGTTCGGGAGTCGGTTACGTGTGGGGAAGGATTAGCACCCCCACAACGCCCTAAATCGGTACCTAGTCTATTAATTAATTTCTTTGCGACGAATTTCACAAGTTCAAATTTAATTTGATTAATGATCCCTTTAAACAACAAACATGCAAATTTGCAACATTCAAAGCAACAAAATAGATTTAATTTAAAATTACCAAGTCATTAGAAAGATGAAGGATATTCGATTATTTAAAAATATCGAGACCAGATCTTTAGGTAAGTTCTAACGATCTTTTCTCAAATAATTTAAATAGCCGAATATTTCTTTTTCTTTCATTCCCAAATTTTAAAGTGATTAATCCAAATTTAATTAGGCGTTACTGGTGGGATACACTTTTAATTTAAAATCGTCAAAACGACCCTCTGGTAAGTTAAGAGAATCCATTCCGACAGTTTTAAGTTAAAAGAGTATTACCCTTAATCCGATTATGTAATGGTATGGAATCATGCTTATGAGGATATCATACACATAATGATATGAAAATGCCAAAACTTATATGCATCCTAATAAAAGGTAAATACCAATATTCACAATGTTAATTTATTCGACATATTAAATAAAATGAAGCAAGGCACAAAGTTATCCTTTATTACTTAGTATATGCAAATATAAGCATGCAAAAGACCATATTAACATTAATAATTTAATTACACATAATATTTACATGTAATCAGGAAAACATAAAAAACAACATAATAACTTAAATGAATAAACACTTAACTCTTAATGCTAAATTCATAGATTAAACAATGATCAAATCATAGAACACTAATAATAATATTTCATGTACTAAAATCAGAATAAACCATGAATATATACAGGACTAAACTGTAATCTTCAAAAGAATATATCACATGTATAAACAAATAAAATATCAAAGGGAGTGAATCCCGAAACTAAAATGCAACATGCAACAACATGAGATTCAAATGTCTAAAGAAACGAAACTAAGTACATTACCACTCAGGACTAAAATGCAACATGCAGAACACGAGGGTCAAGTGTTTAAAACAGAAAAGAGTAAATATACTAACACTTGGGACTAAGATTAACCTTGCGTAAAATACAAAGACCAATTAGAACATAAAAAACGAATTAGGACTAAAATGAGTTACAAGTAAAACCTAAATGACTCGGAAAATGAATAAACCAAATGCCCAAAACGGATGCCCTAAACTGCTCAAACTACGTCGTTTTGATAATCCGATATATATGTTATATTAGGTAAAACTGAACCCTAATTCCCATTTCATTTTCAGCAGCCGCAACGCATTCTTCTTCCTCTCAACTCTCTCCTTCTTCTCCTATGGCCACCCTTCGAGAGCTTCAAAGCTCTCATCTCGTAAATCACCGCTAGTAAGCTTGGAAAAGAAGAACGAACGCCTAAAAGCCACCACCTTTCATCACAATCTCCCAAAACGTTACTCTAACCTCCCTAAACTGACATGCAAGCACTTGGTCGACCTAAGGACGCAACCCCCGGCAGCTCTAGTCCTGATCAACGACTCCGACTCACGGTAAAGCAAGGTAAGTGAGACATTTCTCTCATATTTGCTATAGTTTGTGTGTATTTTTGCTTGGAAAACCAAAAGGTAGCTGCTGATGGATTTATGACTTTTTTGAAATGGGTTTTAATGAAGGATGATGAGTTCCTCTTTTTAGTCTTTTGATTCGAATGAAAAACAGAAAGAAACACAAATTTTGTAAAATCAGATTTAGGAAACAACCTTGTAACTTGATTCTGATTTCGTTTATCTCATATTTTTTCTTTATTTTCGAGAAAAGTAGAAATTATGGGAAGAGCTTTTATTACCTTTGTTTTCTGCTGCTGATGAACCCCTCTGTTTTAGTTACCTTTCTTTTTTGTTACAATCAATCCCCCCTCAATACTGACGGTTACGCATCTGAGCCAACTGACCCCATGGATGCGTGTGTTCCTTCAGGTAACTCGATCCTCTCTCTAATCTGGTTTTTTTATTCGAAATGACACAAGCAAACACACAAAGAGGAACTCTGTTGCTTCAAAAATGAAGAGATCCAAAACGTTTTAATTTTTGTTTCCAATATATATTTATCTAAAATCGAAGGGGAAAACCCTCGGTTTACAAAGTATTTTCTGCGAAAATGGGTGAAGAAAACCCCCAGTACATTGCTTTCAAAATAAAAATTCCAAACGAAGCCCTCTATTCTCCAATCTTTTTGAATCGAAAGGATCAGACCCCCCCCCCCGTTTCCCCTTGTTTCATGTTCTTTTTTCAGTTTCAAAATGGTGCCCCCCCTTTTTTTTCTGTTCGTGAATCCTTGTTGCCTTTTATCTCCTCCTCCTTAATTGATATCCCCGTGATTCTATATTGATTGCTATTTTTCGTTCTGTCTCGTGGTTGATTTCTCCTTGTTCACTGCTGCCCGTGACCCCCTGTTATGTTGTTTTCTATATTAATGCACTGCTTCATCACCTTGGATTTGCTGTTTGCAGGGCACGCACGAGCTGTTGCCGTTGGTGGGTGATGGGGAACCGAGCTGTTCTGCTCAGGTTTGGTGTTGGCATGGGCAGTGGAGCTTCAGCAGTATGGGCATAGGTGACATGGGAACATGGGACAAGGCCTCGGGAGGCACCAGCTGCTGTTGGGAGTGGAGTAGAGAATCGAGATGTTCTGCTCGGGTTTGGTGCTGGCATGGGAAGCTGCTCGGTTCTAGCATTTCACGCGGGAGACAGTTGCTAAGGAGCTGTGCTGCACATGGAGGGCATGGATGACAGCCACCAGTGGTCTCACGTGGGAAGCAATGGTCAACTCGGGTCTTGTAATTGTTGAGTCAATTATTTGAACTTGGGCTTGTAAATGGACTTTAATTTTAGAATTTGGATTTCAGTTTGTGCCCCGATTTCCATATACGATTCCAATTCCAATCGAGCACCTAAAGCTTTCAAACGTGAAATTCCACGCTTCATTATTTGAATTAATTCTTCATCGAGCACTAACGTCTTCAAATTAACTCTTGATCATCTTCAAAATGAAATTAAAAGGCCCGGACAAAATTAGGGTATTACATTAATATTTTTTAAATTTTATAATATATTGCTACATGTAAGTTATAAAACAAACTAAAATTAAACAAAAAAAGAAGAAGGGCAATTCTGTCATTTTATATTACTGAAATCAAATTCATCTGACATGTCTGCGAACTAAACAGAATATGAAATTGGATTCCAATTCAATTTCCTGTCAACCAAACAAGTTTCATATTCAGATTTCAATTCCCTCAGAAACATTATAGCGAACCAAATGATACCTAAAACATTTTTACATGTTTTTCTAAGAAAATTAAAATACATATAGTGATAGATAGAGGATGGTAGTCAAAATGTTCACCCACGGAGAACTTTAAATTATTATATATTTTTAAATAATTTTTATTAATAATTTATTTTCATCGATCAAAAATTTTATAAATGTATTTATGATATAAAATTTTTCGTCTACACCAACATATTACGTTATATTATGAAAACTAGTACAATAATTTTACATGCCACATGATTTATATATAAATACTGATAATATTTATGTATTGATTTTTTAAATGATTTAGAATGATTATAAAATAATATTTATTTATATATTTTTTATTTATTAATAATATACGTATTTTGTAAATATAGTTATTTGAATTTTAATTTTTTAAAAAATATAATATTATTTTTAATTATTAAGACAGATGGGTCATATATGTATTAATTTTCAAGTTTTGATTTAAGTCGTGATACTAATTAAACTTAAGGCATAATAAAAATAAATGTTCAAACAATATCGTTTTCTCCAGTGGTGCCTAACTTTTTTTGATCAATTCAGGTGTCTATTATTATAAATATTACTGCTTTGGTGGTTGGTATGTAACAGACGTTAAATTTTACTGTTAAGTGACACATGTCACAGGTGAATTTAAAAATTTTAATTAAAAAAAACTTAAAATTGTATATATATTTAAAGAAGTCCAAAATTTCCGAAAATGTTAAAAAAATCCAAACTTTGTAAATCTTAAATCTAATTCTTATATCTATCCGTCCTTTACTGTTGTCGTTGCCTTTGATTGAACTTATCTTGATCACGCCTCCACCCGCGATTATCCACACGACGAACAACCACTGATGAACACCAATCGCGATTTTAAATATGATGAATGAAATGGAAAAATCATGACATTTGAGCGACTTCAGAAGACATGACGGTGCAACGACGACAAGGAGGATGTCGGTTGAGAAAGGAGGCAACGTTGGTCGTGGCTGGCATAGTAGAAATTAGGGTTAAGTTTAAGGATTTGGAGTTGATTTTGGGGATTTTAGGGTTTTTTTTTGTAATTTTAGATAAATTAAGATTCTTTTAAAAATATAATAATATTTTTCAATTATTTTTAATAAAATAAAAATTTTAAAATTATATAAATATATCATGTGTTACTTAACGAATTTTATAATGACCATTATAATCGTGACACGTAAAATGATAATATTTATAATATTAAAATTATGAATTAATAAAAAAATATTAATACATGATTTTAAGAAAAACAATATACTTTAATCACTTATTTTTATATTAAACTAAACTTAATAAAACTGTAATTATCATAGGAACTTGAATAACCAATGTTTTGTGTTCTGAGTACTGAGATAAGACCAAAGTGGTGTTATCACCGACAGACAAAGTCTTGTCGAAATGAAATGTAATAATGTGTAGAAAGAAACCCAATTTTCCCCTTCTTTAATTACTTAAAAAATTGCAGGGGGGGCCTTTTCTTCCGTAGTGTTTGAATTTGCAGCTCTGCTCTGTCTCTCTCAGTTCTCTGTATCATCCATCACGTGACCTTCTCTCTTTCCCAGTCCCTGTCTCAATTTTCTCTTACACTCAGACAAGCAAAAGGTAGCCAAGCAACAACCACCACCACCCAAAAAGGCAAACCCTTTCTTTGCAATTTTTTTGCCAGTGATTCTTCTCTTTCAGCGCAGTGTGTTTTGGTCTCGAGGATAATTCATTTTATTTTCTCTCTCTGCATACGAAAAGAGAGAGAGTGAGTAGACAAATATATATATATATATATATACATTTTAATTTTTGAGACAGTTTGTGTGTGTGGATATAAAGAAAGAAAATGCAGCAGCACCTGATGCAGATGCAGCCCATGATGGCAGCTTATTATCCCAACAACGTCACTACTGATCATATTCAACAGGTCCTCCCCTTTCTCTTCCTTCCTTCCTTCCTTCCTTGTATTCTCTGTTTTGATCAGTATGTGTATGTATATTTCTGCTCCCATCTTATTTCCTTTGTTTAGTGAGAGATTAATGGAAAAAAAGCTGCAATTTTATTTTTTATTTCTTGTAAAAAAGCTATTATTTTCTCCTTTTGTTTGATGACTGCTATTGGTAAATAGATTTCAACTTTTAATTGTTTTGTCTGTTGTTTTTATGTATCTTAGGGAGAAAATCTTACTGGTAATTAGTTGTTTACTATGTACATAGTTTTAACGTTCTTTTCATGATGAAATTTGGAGGCATTTAGTAAATGAATTTGTGTATTTGTCATTTTGGATTTGGGACTTGTTTTCCAGTTATTTTGGTCCATATGTGTTTTGGTATTGTATTTTACTGATAAGCAATTCAACAGCTTGTGATGCTTCAGCCTATAGTTCACTTGCTATACTGTTCCTGATTCTTTCTGATGTTAGTCACTTTGTTGTTCTTAATCCATTTTTCTTTTAAATTATGCTTTTTATGTAATGAATTGATTGATATCAATTAATCCTCGAAGAAACTTCGCCTATTTCGGAATGACCGACGAAGTTTCTTCATTGCATGTATGATTTATTAACTATGTTGAGCTTTATTTGTTGGAATTTCCTTGTATCTTTGCATTCATTAGTACACACTAAAAACAATGCCAAAAGAAGTAAGATTCTTCTCCTTCTGCTTGCTGTCCGCTGCCCGGCTGCTCCGGCAGCTTACAGCCGTAGAAGAAAAAACCAATTTCATGTACCTAACTGGGTAATATAGTGAGGATCCATTGTAGTTGGAGTTTCTAAGAACAATATAGGTGTTGGGGGATCACTAATATGAAATCTTTTCTTGTTGATACTAATAAGCTTGTTTGAAGTCGGATTGTTATGCATGGAAAAACTTTTGCATTCTTTTGTTACCTCGTTGCTCTAGGGGCCCATGACTTTAGTACTTAATACTTTTCTGTAGTGGTCCTCTCCGTTAGTGTCATTTGACACAATGACCTTCTGATACGTCCTTTTCTGGTTTATGTGGTCCTCTCTCGATAATCGTTTATTGGTGGTCCTTCTATATGCTTTCATATGTTTTAATGTGTTTCCCGGATACACAACATTTTCAACCTAAATCTTTCAGAAACTAACACAACTTCCTTCTAGTTGTTCGGTGAAGCATGTCAGAAGTAATCTCTATTAATGTATGCAAATATGTTATTAATTTCTTGTATAGTCGGTCATATGAAATTAGGCTTTCGGATTAAGGTAAATCCTATGATACTTAGATTTGGTTACCCTTTCAAGGTAATCCTCGGTTCGTTTTCTTACTTTGTCGGATTTGTTGTTACTGTTATAAATGAGCATTATATTCTCTCTGCTTCTCCCCCCTCTAGTAATTAAGCGGGTGATCCTTTGAATTACTTAAGACTGGTTGTGGATCAAAATGCTTGTTTTATGCCCCAAAGGAACTTCCACGAAGATTCTAAAGCTGTATTTACTGCATATTCATTCCAATTTATTTTTAACATATTTATTGATTTGTTCAATGACTTTGTTTTGATGCATGCAGTATCTTGATGAAAACAAGTCACTGATCTTAAAGATTGTCGAGAGCCAGAATTCTGGGAAATTGAGTGAATGTGCTGAGTAAGTGTTATCTTTTTGGTCTCTAACATCTATCGAACTCGAGTGTTTTTAATCTACAATATCTGATGCATAATATTTTCTATTGATCCGATGCTTAATATCTGTCAAGCTTATGATTGCATTGCTAATTTGTACCTGAATTTCTTCTCTTCTAATTTAAGCCAACTATAAATTATAAAGATATTTGTAGTTTAGGTCTTAGAAGGGTCACTAACCGGCTCCGATTGTTGCAGGAACCAAGCAAGGCTGCAGCGAAACCTCATGTACCTGGCTGCAATTGCGGATTCTCAACCCCAACCACCCACGGTGCATGCGCAGGTGCCAACATCCTTGGAACAGTTTTCTTTTTCTTTCTTTAAACACATTTTACATTGAAGTTTCACCGGATATCTTTCAAGTGGTACATTGGCTAACTTGTCTTTATCGGTTGCTTGTAGTTTCCATCCGGTGGTATTATGCAGCCAGGAGCTGGACACTACATGCAGCACCAACAAGCTCAACAGATGACGCAGCAATCGCTTATGGCTGGACGGTCCTCGATGTTGTATGCTCAGCAACCATTTTCTGCACTGCAACAACAAGCCTTGCACGGTCAGCTTGGCATGAGCTCCGGCGGAAGCACAGGCCTTCACATGCTCCAAACTGATTCTAGCACTGCAGGTGGGAGTGGAGCACTTGGGGATGGCGGGTTTCCTGATTTTGGACGCGGTGCTTCGGGTGAAGGCATTCATAGTGGCAGGCCAATGGCAGGAGGAAGCAAGCAAGATATGGGGAGTGCTGGATCAGCTGAAGGTCGTGGAGGAAGCTCCGGAGGTCAGGGTGGTGAAACCCTTTACTTAAAAGCGACCGATGACAGGAACTGAAAGTAATGCCGGTTCGACCTATGGGTCTGTTTATCATTGGATTTAGGTGAGTTAGTTACGAAGATAAATTTAGTAAACGAAGTCCGAAAGTGGTGAAGTTTTCTTGCTGAAGGAACTTGTTCCTGAGACACTGCATCTTATGGTAATGTAACGTGTAAATTTGTAGGGTCTCATGTTTCAGCTTTGCTTAATTTCGTGTGTTTTACTTTTAATGTGGTTACTATGACTGTTTGGACCATGTTTCAGTGGATGAATTTTGATGTCCATTTGCTGAGATTGCATATGAAAATTATGTGTTTCTTGCACCCAATTCTATGATTTATTTTGGGACGGGGGGTCTAATACCTGTCCAGTATCAGTTATACGGAGTCGAGTCAGGTCGGAATCAACATTTCCGCTGTGAGATGATATCGGTTGAATGGACTTGGTATTACAGGTACTACCATTCAGAAGATGTCTCTGGATAACATGTCTGTCGATTGTGATTCTTGAAGATGGTAAGATCACCGGTTCCTTCATCAAGGTATATTGAATCGGATCAAGGAATTCATCTGGTATACCTGCTAGTGCAGTTTCGGTGTCCATGGCCTTTAAAGCCACAACCTTGGCCTTTGTACCAAGTTGAATAAAATCTTGTATAATCCTTCCCATTGAAGAACATCTGCAGCACGAAACGATTGTTCGTTGTATGGTTGGCCACCATTGGAGATGGCGGCCGGAAATATGCTTTTGGCATCACCCGTCGCCAGATGAACATATATCCCATTTTCGACTATCTCAGGGAGTAGAAAAAGAGCTGAAAATTTGCCAACTTCATGTCAACTGCTGGCTGTTGGCTCTTGAAAATTGTATGATCAGACGAGCACTTCCCCAAAATGCTAGTCATTGCAATAACACGTACATTCAAATAAACCCCTTTAGGACTCCGGACGTTTTAATTTTTTTAATTTTTGTTCAAAATATCTTGTTAGAAAGAAACAGTTAATTAATCAATAATTCAATTGGTCTAGTGGGATGAGGTACTAGGTTCCTTAAGTAATGTTAGGGTTCGAATCTTGACGTTTGCGAATTGAGCAAGCTGGGTTGGGAGGATTGTTCTTGTTTCTGCAGAATTCGAATCTTGGCGTTTGCGAATTGAGCAAGTTGGGATGGGAGGGTTATTATTGTCTCTGTAGTACTCGATCTGAATTAATCGATCAATGGATCGAATAGCAGTGATTAATTAAAAAGAAGAAACAGTTGATTAATCAACGGTCAACGTGTCTTACTGACATGTCATTTTCGTATTTGCTTAATTGTTGATGTTGTATGTGTTATGTCATTAAAGTGATGACATAACATATGTTGATCGTTAGTCAACTAACGTTTTTCTCATGTTAGAAGAAAAAATTAATTAATTAATAATCAACATGTGTTACCGATATGTCATTTTCACATTTACTTAATTACTAACATGATATGTGTCATGTCGATGATATGACATATATTGACCGTTAGTCAATTAAATGTTTTTTTTTCAACATGTAATATTTTGATCGAAAATTGAAATGTTGGGAGCTAGAATGTTTTAAAAAACAATAAGAACCAAAATAATCATTTGTACAAACATTGGAGGATAATTTTGTCATTATATATTTCCTTCCCAAAACATAAACTTTTTAAAACATTAGGGTGTTTAAATGGTCGGTTTGGTTAATCGAACCGAATAAAGTTCGATTAATTCAGTCGATTTTTAAATTAATTGAAATTTATAAATAATTTATATTACATATTAAATATTACATATTAAATATTTTTGATTAGTTCTATTAAAACTGAATTTTGGACACCCATATGACTAAGTATATATAAACAATATATATAATATTTAATATTTTTAGTTATTTTGATTAATTAATCGACTCTAGACTGAATTAATCGATAATCAAAGTTTTAAAAATTAATTAACCGTTAATTGATCAAACCTAAAATTAATCAGAAAAACTTCTATTCGATCAATTAATTCAGTTAAAACTTAAGTTTGAACACTCATACGGAACACTCACACTTAAATCCTCATACAACCCCTTTGAGATCGGATCTAAAGATCAAAATCCGAATCCTTGAAAATCTCTTCCAAAATCATTAATGTTTTAGTAAATTTTCATTTAACTCATTACTGTTTGAAAAGTTGTATTATGATCACTAATTAATGAAGTGAAAATAATGAAGTGAAATTGATGACGTGAGTGTGAATTTTCAAACATTAGTAAACAAAATAAAAATTTATTAAAACATTAGCTCATGTGTAGATTTTTTTTTTGGATAAATAGCTCGTGTGTAGTTTATTCATAAATAAATTGTGGGTTATTATTCGACACATTATCAATAAATAAAAATAATAATTCTACAAACAATATTCAAATAAGGTTAATATTTGACATCATTCTAATATTGCTTTATGAAATAGTTATATTAGATAAAGTATACAAATGATCCTCCAACTATAAGATATTGTTTTGTTGAGTCCTTGTACTATTAAAAGTTATACAATGAATCATCGACTATATAACGTTATTTTGTTGAGTCTCTTAACTATTAAAAGTTACAAAATTGTCACTTAACTATTTATATGTTCCAAACTCGTTCTTTTCCATTAAAAAGTTGATGTCTGTCTGAGTTGGACGTTAATCTACTTACTAAGATATGATGAAATCATATTTGAATGATGTCTACTAGCACCGCCATTGCTTTCAAGCATTGGCTCGATGAAATGATGTAAACGAACAGTCGATTCACAAAATACAACTCATACGGTTTTGAGATCATAGTTGATCATATCTCAGTCAATAGGTTAACGTTTAGCTCAGACAACCGTCAATTTTTTAATGGAAAATGACGAGTTCGGATATGAATAGTCGAGTAACCATTTTGTAACTTTTAACAATCGAAAGACTCAATAAAACAACGTACTATAATCGAAAAACATTTTATAACTTTTAATAATTAAATACTCAACAAAATATCATCCTACATAATCCGGAGACAATTCGTCTACTTTACCCTATCAGATAAGCCATTATTGATTGATGAATGCAAAGAGCAATGGTATATAAAAGAAAAATGCATGGTATCACAGTCTGTAAATCACCATGTATTTCCATGAGATTAAAGAAAGTTAATTGGTTAGGAACCACGAATTCGGGGCGAAAACAAAGGTAAAAGAAAAACCGAACTTAACGGTATTATTGAACAATGTCAGATTCTGAATAACCCATCATTCACTTCCATACAACACAAATAACTCACCACCCTTTTCTCTCTGCCTCCCTGATTTCCCCCAGAAGTTAATTACATTTGCATTGTAGTTTCTTTTTCAAGAAACTGGGGTTGTCTTAATTATGTTTTGGAGCTTGATTTTCTTGCAATCAGATGAGCCTCTTTCCCAACTTGGGTTGTTTCCTGTTTTCATCTCTAACTATGCATTGCCAGGCTTCGGATTGACAGCTTAACAATGGTAAATCTCAACTTTGGGTCGTACTCGATTTGGTTCTTATTCTTGTTTATGTGTAGAGAGAGTGAATGTTGAAGATTCGAACTTTAGACTCGTTGAATATCATGGTTGCATGGATGCATGTAGTAATGTTAACAATGAATGTCTGTTATTAAATGGAATTTTTTGTTTGTGTAATGTTAACAATGGTTTTGATACTTTTGGTTACAGGCAACTGTAAATATTACTGTAGGTTCTCACGTCTGGGCTGAAGACCCAGATGAATCTTGGATCGATGGGGTGGTTTCGAAAATTACTGGAAAAGATGTCGAGATTAACACCTCTAATGGGAAAAAGGTATTCTTCATTACCTACTTTAACCAACTTATCTTACTCGGATTTGGGATGAGTGTATGTGTTTGAGTATATGTCCGACTTGGGTACTTGTATCGTTTTTCGAGTTTTTTTTAATATATTCTTGGAAGATCATGCTCTTGTAATTATGTTCGAATAGGTGTTTGAAGAAAAACGAAAGAGTCCTTCATTGTTATGTAAAATCTATTGGGTTTTCCTTGTACTGAGATTAACTGTTGTCGTGTTGGTTAACTTTAAGATCACTGAAAAGTTATCGAAAATATATCCGAAAGACATGGAAGCTCCTCCTGGTGGAGTTGATGACATGACAAAGCTATCTTATCTGCATGAACCTGGAGTTTTGCAGAATCTGAGAACTAGATATGAACTCAATGAAATTTATGTAAGCTTTCACGTCCCTTGATGTAATCACAACTGTTAGTTTTGCTTTTTCAGCTTTTTTTTTTTGGCTATATATATATATATATTGACATGCTGGTGATGGCAGACATATACCGGAAATATATTAATTGCTATTAATCCATTCCAAAAATTGGCACACATCTATGGTTCTCATATGATGCAACAATACAAGGGAGCTCCCTTTGGGGAACTAAGTCCTCACGTTTTTGCGGTTGCTGATGTTGCATACAGGTTATTGTTCTTCTTCTTTACTTTGTGCATTCCTTTTGGTGATCTATGAACAAGTTTTGACGAATTATCTTAACTTCAATAGGGCCATGGTTAATGAAGGAAAAAGCAATTCAATTCTGGTTAGTGGTGAAAGTGGAGCAGGTAAAACTGAGACCACGAAGATGCTTATGCGATACCTTGCCTATCTAGGTGGTCGAGTTGCCACCGAAGGACGTACAGTTGAACAACAAGTTCTTGAAGTATGATCGATAACTCTAACTCGTATTATCTTCCATCAAACATGTGTCTCCCTGATTTCTTGCACGATAACTGATAAGAGCATTATACTACCTGAATGCAGTCTAATCCAGTTCTTGAAGCATTTGGCAATGCTAAAACTGTTCGAAATAACAACTCCAGGTAAGACACTCTTTAAAAGAAATAACTCCAAGGAAGGATATTGATTTGCATTTTTGAATCCAACTGATGATTAATATCATTTAATGTTCATTATATAGAGCAACCTATTGTTTGACACTGTTTTTTCCTAATACTAATGCTGTTGCAGTCGTTTCGGTAAATTTGTTGAGATCCAATTTGATAAGCATGGAAGAATATCGGGAGCTGCCATCAGAACTTACCTTTTAGAGAGATCTCGCGTTTGCCAAGTTTCTGACCCCGAACGCAACTACCACTGTTTTTATCTTCTTTGTGCTGCACCACAGGAGGTATTTTTTCGGCTTCTTGTGAGATTATCTGACTGCTGATCAATATTAGTCATTTTATTTATTTTACCTTGGGGCTTAAGTTACTATCGTTAGCAGGAAGTTGAGAAGTACAAGTTGGGAAGCCCC